AAAAATGGGCCCTTTTAATTGAAGACACCCCATATGGGAGGGAATTCAAGATTATTGATTGATTCATCAATTATATTTTTATCGTTAAAGTCTAAAAATTCAGTTTTATATAGCCATGTCTTTGGCCCACGTTTTTTTTTATTCGTAATATTACACTGATTCCCAGTAGAAATGCATCTATCACAAGGTGTACCTCCTGAACATCTCATTTTAGCATACGTACAGGGACGACATGCTACTAAAATATAAGGACTACGAAATTTATCAACTTTGGCTGCTTTAGTTATAAAACTGGGTAAATGTTTCTTTGGTCCACGTTTTTGTTGATTAGTAAAATTACATGTTAAAGACAAATTAATACACCTTGAACAAGCACTATCAACTGAAGCATTACATTTCGCTTTATGCCGTTTACAGTGCATACATGATGCAGTGTTTTTTTTAAACATTTGCAAACCGGCATGCAAAAATATTTTTTAATATTGCATATGAAAATAGAAAATCATAAAATTTGAAGTTGGCACAGGGAAATTGTTCGGTACACACTATATATATATTTTTGATATTAGCAAAGTCAGGTTTTCCTAGGCATCACATATATATTCTTTTTCATTGAATTTCTATTTTTATCGAGCGTTATAAGTATTTTTACAAATCTGGAGTTTTGTACACTGAATTATTCCGATAATTATTGTTCCGATGCATATTAGAGATTGAATTTATAAATTTAATATGCAGAGTGTTTCTTCCCGAATATTCCATGGCATTTTTCATTAGAAGTTTCATCTTTCGTTGTATTTTTACTTGTGAATAAAATTAGGTGTAACACTAATATGCAAAGAATTTTCTGAAGAGTTGATCATTGTATTTTAATAAATTTGGGGTTTTGTGATATGAATTATTCCGGAGATTACATCCGCTGCTATGAATAAAAAGTAATAATTTCTATTTTTGTGCATTAAATAATTATTACCCGAGATTGGAATATTGCATCGCATTTTTCGTTAGAAGTTTCATCTTTCGTTGTATTTTTACTTGTGAATAAAATTAGTCGTAACACTAATACGCAAAGAATTTTCTGAAGAGACTTTCACATTTCCTGTTGGAGTTTTCATTTATTGTATTTTAACAAATTTGGGGTTTGATGACATGAATTATTCCGAAAGATAATCCACCTGAATAAAGTTATTGCAAAAGTACTGACATTTAATACGTATTTTTTAGCAATTTCTTACTTTCACGTTTATATAATAAATTTCAATTATTTTTTTATAATTATTAAAAAGACACGTAATATTGCAAATTTATATGGAACTAAATTCTAAAATAATAAAAGCAATTGATACAAAAAATCTGGTCATGCTACTTCAATTGGCTTAAAAAATTTTATCTATTCTTTTTATACAAATACTTTTGTAATATTTCAATTTAAATTAATTTAAAAATGGAAAGTTTTGAAGCAATCTAAATATTAAGAATATTATAAATTATAAATATCAAAATAAAAAATTTTAATCGATTCAATTAACTTTTTTTTGAGAAATAAAATAAAAATTCAATTGTTGAGTTCTATATAATTAATAGATACTATTGAAAGCTAACGCCAAAGTCACATTTTTATTACCAGATTAAATACACGTCATAGTATTTCAGCATCAATGGATGCTGAAATAAGTCACATGAATAGTCAGTTAAGTATCGATAATATGTTGTATTCGTTTAAACATTAATTCGGGCAAAGGCATTTTAATGTTACTTATTTCCTTTGTTTTATATAATTACAGACAAAATTTATTCATAAAAATTGGAATATATTAATGTTACATATTTTATTAATCTACAAATTGCACTGCAAGTCAAAGAAGCCTTATTTTTTTGTTCGTGCAATATCATTGAGAAATGAGAAATGACCATATTTTTAAGAACACTGAGATTCTGATTGTATAGTGTAAAAAATGAACCACTCGAACAAAAGACATTTTGCAATAATACTCAAGAATTTGACTTTAGAGACTTTTTCTTTGTAATAATTTAAAGTATTGGACAAGTGAATCTGTTGGTTGAACTGCAAAGCCCACAACCATTAAACAAAGTAAATAAGTCTTACCGTATCATCTCAAAATAACGCTTTACGGTTTAGTTTAATATTTTGGCCTACATTAAGCTTAATTTGGCCTAAATTATACTTAATGTAGGCGGTTATCTTGAAGTTAACTTAGAAAAATATAAACACTATTAATCAATAACTCTTATTTTAACACAATAAAAGTCACATAAATAATATTCTATTATTTCGAACTCATTTCATTCTCCTACGGCATCAAGATGCCGTCGGAGAACGAACTGAGTTTTTAATGAATTGTATTATTTCGCGGCTTTTTGTTTTAATGCTCATCAATGACCCAAATTAACTAACAAAATTACTTCTGATAAGCATTTGATATTGGTTAGGTTAAATTTTAAATGATTTAAATGCTAAAGTTGTTTCATATTTAAATATTCTCTTAATTATATTTGATAAATAATATATTAAATTCATAGATATTTTGCATTATTTTTATTTCATTCTCATTTAATCACTAACATAAAGATTATTAATTAATCATAATCGATGACTATCGCTTTAATGAATTTTAATCTTCATATTTCATTGTCTTCAGGTATTTTATTAATTGTTTTATTGATAAATTCTTTGGTATTTACTTGCAAACGAATTAATTTAGTCAATTAACTTAGTATCTGATACGAATAATAATTGTAATAAATTAGTATCTGATACGAATAATTCTTAAAATGAATTAATACAAGGATTTACATTTACTTGCAAACGAATTGGTTAATATAAATAGCATTTGTATTTATTTGTAATTAATTTAATAAATTTAATAAATTATGGAAATATATCTATATCGGTTTATTGATCTTACTACTTTTTTATTCAGATTTAAGTTATTAAAAGATATGTAGCAATTTGGTAGAATTAATTCATAACTCTGGTAAACATAATTTTGGTAGAATTAATTCGTAACTCTGTTATACATAATCTTGGTAGAATTGGATCAATTCGTTCTGATATTCGGTAAATAGAATTCTAGTAATTCTTGCAAAATAATTCTGGTAGAATTAATCTGTAACTTTGGTAAACATAACTCGATGATGTACAAAAGTTACGTTTTTGATGCAATATATTTATTATGTAAACATGATTTCGAATTGAAAACATGATATTAATACATATATAATGGGGTGTTTGCACTTCGCTGAATGCTAATTCATTTTTAACCATTATAGTCACACAGAAATTGACAATTCATAAGCATGTTCATAAAAGTATTGATTATATTATTTAAGTAGGGATCATGCTTTACAAATAAATAAGGTTCATTTACAACTTTATGAATATATATTATTATACTCTAGATAATTGATTGAAAGAGTATTGAAAGGGTTTTAAGTAAATGTTGCTTTCTTGTTTTATATTTGCATTTCAAATTTTTTGATTTGTATTGCATTCTTAACCTTTCGAACTGTAACTTATAACATGCCTTTTCAGACTCTGGCAGTTTATTCTATTCATTTCCAGCAATTTTTGAAATTTGACAAGTATCCATATTTAGATTATCTTTAATTTTTTCTTTTTGATATAACATAAAGGCATTTAATGGACGTTTTACAGGATTAAAGATCAAGGCTAGAACAAGTATATTTAGTTCCGGCAATTACTTGATTGTTTTCAATTTCTTTGTAGCATCTTCACGAATAAGAATTGGTGAGTAACCTTGTGGGATAAAAACTGATATTCCATTTATATGTTCAATATTTTGAAAAAAATCAGATTCTTCAATCGAAATGAAATTATTCGAAATTGTTTTATTCATATTTACTTTTTAAAAATGCTTTTTAATAGTTTCAGATATATTGTTAAAATATAGAGTTAAACCAATTTAGAAGTATTGAGTTAAATTGTATTGTTATTATTTCTTTTAATATTTTCGTATCATATGCTTCATAGAATAAAAATAAAATTGTAAAGTTAACAGTTTGTTTTTAAAACATTATATAATAAAAGCTAATTCAAATAAAGTCATTATAAATTTCATTAAGTTTATCACAATCTTTAATATTCTATTTTCGCCTGTCGAAATTATAACATAATTTAGGTTTTTATAAATAAATTTTTATTAATTGAATAACTCTTAAGTTAAAATTATAAATCTTTCAATTTAATCAATGAATCAAATTTTGCTTTTATAATTTTTATACAAAGTTGTTGCCATTTTTATATCATTAACATTCTATTATCCAGTATAGTGCTCTACAAAACAATTTATTAAAGAGAAAATATAATTAATTATTAATTGAATAACTCTTAAGTTAAAATTATAAATCTTTCAATTTAATCAATGAATCAATTTTTTGCTTTTATAATTTTTATTCAAAGTTGTTGCTATTTTTATATCATTAACATTCTATTATCCAGTATAGTGCTCTACAAAACAATTTATTAAAGAGAAAATATAATTAATTAATATTCTTGATTAATTTCAATTTTAAAAGATGAATATCACCTATTTGAATAATCAATAGGAACATTAAGTCGGATTATAAATCTTAATACTGTAATATAATAAATCGGTCTGTATATTTCAAATTATAATAAAATAAGTCTTCTACAATAATTTTATTTTCAGATTTCATTAACAAGAATAGCCAGCTATTTGGGTAACGTGATAATCCAACACCATGATTATATTTAAAAATTTTGGGAAAAGGTTTTTCTTTACCTTTCAAAAGTCGATCGAAGATTTGCAATGCATTTTCCAGCTTTTCATTTGTACTTTGTAATTTTGAAATTTTTAACTTTAGCCTATGATTTAAGTTGAACTGTATTAAATTAGATATTTTATATTAGTAAGGCTAAACTTTTTATACTTTTTATTTTTTCTTGTAGAGTTTCTAGATTAAAAATACATATGAAGTTTCATATGATTTGATAGACAACAATGATCATAAAATCCGAATTTATCAAAAAAAAAATCTATTTTCCTTATTCTTGACTAAATATAATGTTTGTATTATTAAAACCATTCAGCTAAATTATAATTGTCTGATAAAAATTTTAAAGTAGATTCTTTCGATAAACTGAATTGTTCTGAAGATAAATGATTAGTGATATCGCAATTAGAATTATATCTGTAATAAATTTTTGAAGAAAGATTCTTGTTTACAATATCTTTAAAATACTCAGTTAAATTACAAAAACTAGGTGATGTAATATTTTCAAATTCTTTCTTAGCTTTTTCAATATCATAGAAACTATCTACTTTTCTTTTTAAGTTGCTTAATAATTTAAAAAGTGAATTAGAATTTGTTTGTTTTTGGTAATTAAAACATAATTTGTTTGCTCTGATATCACTGAGTAATAATGAATATTGTTTTTATAATTTTTCATATAAATCTTTATAATATGATTTGGATTCAATTTGGTAATTGTTATTATTAATATATTCAGAACATTGATATATATCATTTATTAATCTTTTCTTGTTGATAATATACTTGCTAGTATCCATTTTTTTTAATAATTTAATATTTTAATTTCCCTATTTATAAAAAAAAAATTTAAGACACGGCAAATTTGAAATGTATTTATAAATTCCTTTTGTTCACGTAATTAATTAAAAAATGAATTTATGTTAGGTTTTATATTATGTCTTTATAAACCATTAGACTAATTGATAAAACAAACCAGCAAAATTAAAACATTTGTTTGATTAGTCAATTAAAAATTTCTTAAAAAACAATAATTAAATAGCAATTTAAAGAAATAATGGATCTCTTGCAGTATTGGTGACACTATCATTAAAATCAATTTTGTCAATTCAAATTACAATCGAGCTTATTCGTACAAATTATAATAGTATTCTTTTTTAATTAATCTTCGAAAAGGCCATTTTAGTTATTTCAAAATATTAGTAGAATAATGTAGAATGTAGTGAAAAATCAGTTATCTTCTAATGCTCATTAGTAGATTTAAATAAAAAAGCATAGGCTTTTAACTGACTAATCACGTGATTTATTTCAGCATACAGGGATGCTAAAATACTATGACATAGCATAGTGGGCTTTATTGTGATTGGCTGATTTTTGTAGATCATCGTTTTATAATAAAGTCCTATTAAAGTAACGATTTTCTGTCACAAGATTGAATTTAGGGCCACGAATACAAATTTAGGAAGGGTAAGACAAAAACAATTAGAAAGTTCACGTCTTATTTTATAAACCTTAGAAGTAATTCGGTAATCCGCGAAGTAATTCGGAAGATAAATGAGAAGCGCTTTATTTCACTCTTGAATAGGGTGTACTTTAACGGAATTGTCGAGATCAGTACTTAGTAGAAAAGCAGTAAGCACTCGAAAAATTTTAGCAGCAAATGAAGGTATGGACTATTAAATCAATAAATATTAAGCAATAAAGTTTTTTTCTTTTATTAATTCTTAATTTTTCTTACTCTCTTACTCTTAACACGTTGGCCTGAGATCTTGCGCATTGAGAAAGGTGAATGTTGAAATGTAAAAAAAGAAGTGTTATAAATACGAATTGAGTGTTGAATATATAAAAGTAGCGTCAAATATGTGGGATTGAAATATTAATATAATGTATAAACAAGCCTTTGTAAAAAATATTTAAATTAATAAAAGATTGATATATAGTATTTCTTTTTAATTCGTGCTGTTAATTGGCAATAAATAATTGAACAGTAAATTAAATTTATTTATTTAAATGTAACCGTAATTAAGTAATAAATTAAAATTTTATTAAAAGTAATTAAATAATAAATTAAAAATTTTATTATTAAAAATAAAAAAAAAAAACTTATTTATTTATTAAAAATCAAAAACTTGTATCATATACAATTTGAAAATTCGTGACCCAATTTTAAAATCTATACTTCGAAACTATCAAAATCCATTCCCAATTGCGCACTTTCTAAAGTACCTATGGCTCCCTCAACAAGTGAATCTATATTATTACAATCAATATTTTCATCCAAAAAAAAATTTTCATCACCAGTATCATCACTGGTTTCGGTATCCTCTTGTTTGTTAGAACTTTTCTCTTTTTTTTTCACTTTCTCATCTGATTCTAGTATTGTTTGAAAAGCCTTACAATTCTTTTCAATTCTGTTTATGAGGTAATCGATACAATATTGATATCGGCTTCCTAATTTGAATAAAAAACATTCGAAATGATAAGCATGTCTACAAATTAAAATACAACCTATCTCACAAGAATCTACGTATCCCTCTAAATCACAAAATCTGTTATCATAGAGAATATGTGAAGTATTCCAAGCTATTGACAAGATATCTAAGTCGACTTAAGCTTTTAGTGTTGGAAATTCGTACTTTTCCAGATTCGAATGTGCGTCGGTGGAAATAATTTTTGATTTGCTAAGATTTTTGTAAATATTTGTAAAAAATCTTAGTAGAAAAAGTGCTGTACGTTTTTCAAGATATTTTAGCTGTTTTGCTGAATATCTGATATTATGACTTTCAGCAAACACATTTGTAAAAGAATTTTTGCCACGCATTTGGTCAATTATTCATGCCTCTTGAATAACTTGCTTTGTCATATTTGATTCATGAATTTGTCGCCGAAGTGAGCTGTGAAAATTTTCTACGTAATAGTGTTAAAGACGTGAATTGAGTCTGTAAGAGTTTGTGAAATAGGGTGATTAGTACTGAACCAATAAAAAACATTACTTAAAAACATTAATAGTAGTTTATTATAATGTCTTCATTGATATTAATAAAAAACAGCACAAACTTGAAACATTGCTTCTAGATACGCTTGCCAATTTCCATTTCGAAAGATAATAGGATAAAAATCCAAAACCAATGGAACAATGTTATCTAGCAGATTAATAAGATATCATGCTTCAGGATCTTTAGAACGTTCAAATTTCTGCAAAACTATCGAACGAACTTGAAACCAGCCTTGATATGCTAATTCTAAAATTAAATTAATTCTATAAGGTTTTGGTTTTTTTGCTAGTGTCTTATTACGTCCAAAAACTGCATGAAAAAGTAAATCAAAAAAATGATAATTTAAAAGAAACACCATTTCACAACTATTTAAGGATACATGCAAAGGTCCAATCATTGGAACGATATGCAAAATTTGCTCCGGAATTCCAGAAGAGTCTCCAAATTTAATACGACGAGTGATAGCACGCCGTACATAAAGTTGTCCAGAGTAATCCATAGGCATCATAAAAACTTGCGCCCTCATATAAGCCTCTGCTTCGGGAATATCCATTAAAGACTTGAGCGCATTCACATATTTCGTAGTTGAATGAAGAAATCCTTCCTGTAAATCGACAAGTTTTGTATTTTCCATGCTATGATCCATTCGGCATTGCTCAATTCTATCATCATAACTATGAATTAGGAGATGTTCAACTCGTTCGTCGTGAGTTTCTTCCACAGATAAATCGGAAAATGCGTTCTTTCACCCTGTATAACTTAGCCATAAATTAGAAAAAAAAAGTGAGTCTGCATTCTCAATAATAATATTTGACTCAATACCCTTTTTATTATGGATATTTTTTTCCTGATTGGGATTATTAAATGGGATTGAGGTTATGTCTGGCAATGCTTTTAAAAGAATCGTAATAAAATGGGTAGTATCATATGTGGTAGTTGAATCACTACGACAAGATTCATGAATATTATGAAAATCATTAACGTTTAAAACAACTAAATTTTCTATCTATTAAAATTAATGTAATTATTTAAAAAATAAATAAAAAAAATTAAATTAAATAAAATAAATTAAATTAAATAAATTAAATTAAATTAAATTAAATAAATTAAAATTTAAATGCTTACATTTTCTGTTAGAAATGTACCAACTGTCTCCGTATGTGTCTGTATATGTCGAGCCTTTTGCTTTGCGATCATTTCACGTCTTACCGTTAGGCCTGTACCAGCCAAGGTTTCAATTGCCGACGAAGATGCACCGGATGCATCTAGCAAAAGTCCTATCTCTGCCTTAATGCCATTAATAAATTTGTTATTAAGATCTGCAAGAAAATAGCAAAAGGAAACAAGTCTTTTTTTATTTTTTTCGTTAGTTATATGGTTCTTAGCTTGCGGATTTGTCCCAACTACCAATTGATCAAAAAAACCTCTTAATGACGGTTCAGCATTTTTGAACATTTTTTTGAACTCATCAGGATCAAAAATAGGTCTTTCGTTATACACATGTTGCCTTGTGTATAACACTCCTACCATTAGCTTGATCTTCTTGCTCAAAGAAATTTGCTCTAAAAAAAGCTATATATGTAAAAAAATAATTTAAAAAAAACATTACAAACAAAAGTTGTCTATTTACCTAGTTTGGTTTCATCAAGTTCTGCACATACTACATGATACGCAAATTCCAATTCTGGAAATTCTCGTTCAGAATAAATTACATCGCCACGTAAAACATATGACCTATCTTGAAATCGTTTTATGCTTTCTTTTGGAATTTTTTCTTTTGGTAAAGGATAATCGGACGAGTTAACGTATTCTGAATCAAGTTCTGTTTTATATAAGCAATGGTTACATATTATTGCTTCCTTTGGCAGATTGAACAATCTAATCAAACGTTCTGGTGTCCATCCAAATTTCATTCCGCTAGTGCGCCTTCTCTCCATTTCTGGTATGTCCACCGTTTCTCTCGCATCGAGCGCCAACTCTCCATATTGGGA